TTTTCTGGTCGTTTTCATCTTGAAATGGACATAAAAAGATTATTAAGGTTCAAAGTGAGGCAGAGAAAACTGAATTAGACGAAAGGTACCAAAGTGTGGAAGGTCAGAAAATTATTAAGATTGATATGATTTAAACGGTTCAAAGAATGATTGACACTTTAGTTAAAGTGAGAACCGCAGTACCTGCTGAAATGGATAATAGAAGTATGTCCAAAGCCAGAACTTAGGGTCCAGTGTTCCTGCCCTTGCGTGAGAGGCTGGACTCAACGGAAGGAACCTGAACCGACCAGAAGTGTCGCGAGAATCGCCCGCGGTCACGCCCATCAATTCCATGCATAAGCCAAGATCTACATCTTCGGAGCCCGTCGATACATTCGAACAGAAACCGGAGTTGATGCCTTTTTCTACGAAGAGAGTCAAGGCTTTTCGACTCAACACGTAACCGGCACCGCCGCTCATGTAGCCTTGGTTTACAAACGGTTTGAACTTGCAGCCGAAATAAATCGGCTTTTCTGTGTCATAAGCAAGAAGCATAAGACGCAGGTTCTCGACGATGACGTATGTATCGTCGTCGGTTTTCAAGAACCAGTCATAGTCGTTCAAGCTGGTATTGTAGATATACGTCATGGCTAGCTTTGTTTTCTCGGTCAAGAACTCGCGTCCTTCCGACGTGTTCAGTTTCACGGTGGGCAAAGTCGGGTCGTCGGAAGTCGAAGCGAAGAAATATCCGTCGCAGCGCTTCAGCCACGTGGCTTTTACGTGAATAGCCCTTGATATGTGGTTCTGCGGTCCTGTCATCACCCAGCAGAGCACCCGTACATGTTTGGCAAGTTCTCTTGCCAGAGAGTCATTAACTGAAAGTAGAACAACATCAAAATACGGAACAGTAAACACAAAAAAATAGTATTATATTACATCGATGAAAATAAATAGAGAACGGTGAAGCAGTCAGAGTCACAAAAGTGGCATTCTAAAACTGTTTAGTATGCCGAAATATAGCTTTATCCGATTCTTGATTAAATATGAAGAAAATAAGATATTTTAATGATTTTGGCACACATAATCAAATAAGTTAACGCTGACATACCACGGTGTCAAAACATGGATTTTGTACGGTCCTTTTCTCTCTAAGGTCCATTGATATTATTCTCTTCAGCAATTATTGGTTCTCAGGGCAATATACTTTTTTGGTGAAATGGCGGAAACAGAAACTGGGTACCAGAGGTACTTTTCTTAAGGGTATTACTGAGCACACACGTCATATTTGATATCAGATTCTTTTTTTGCTGTTAATATCATAACTTTCAGCCGTTTCTGTGAGCAGAACGTCCATGCTTTGTGATGTCCGCTGTATTTGCAGCATTATTGCACTTGTGCTATAAGACAAGGGCTGCTGCAAAGCAGAATGTAGAAGAATCAAGTCCTTACTGAAAGCAGATCCGTCTCTACTTTGTTTCATCATATTGAATTCTGGTCTCTTGGCCAACGTCTGCCGTGTTTCGGCTCCCTCACGAAAAGCCATTCGGCTGGAGTAAGTGATTCATTGAACTCATCAGATTTCCAGATGAGCCAATCTCATTTTCTTGATCTCTACATCTACCGAGGTCACTGAGT